CACCGGAAGAAGATGGAACGACCCCCTGCAACCCGATATTATGACCGAAATTAGTAGTAGACTCCGCGCAATCATCACTTTGTTCATCGTGAATGGAGTGGGAAGAAGGCCGTCAGGTCTGCTTTTCCTGTTTTCGGAGGATCTTATTTCTGCTTCTGCGGGTAGGTTACATAACACTGTGCATAAGGCCTCAGCTGCAACAAACTAAATAATCGGGTTAGCGCCAGTTCACCTGAAGCGTTCGTCGAAACACTCCCACTGGTGGTCAAGGCGTTGTTTTCTATTGTGAATAGCTTTTCCGCTTTCGTCGCATATTGTTAAATTACTCTGAAGTTCGCCGACCTCTGGTGCTGCGTACCAGTTGGGACGGTCTTTGAGTATTCCTTGACGTAGCGGATACTTTCATTTCACAAACTGTTTTTGCCCATCAGCTTCCACTGCCTTGTGGCTCTTCGTGACTTGACTTTCCGGACGGCACCTACCCCATGCTTTAATCCTCACGGATCGGTATTTGTCGCTTTTTCTCCATCAGGGTTACTGACTCATAAATTGTTCTATGTCTCGGACCATTTCATATGTACTTTCAAAGCCATCAAGGTCATCTTGACCAATACTCGGTTTTTTCCTCTTTTATTCATTAGGTGGCCATTTTCAAACAACCCAACGGTTTCGGATTCACGTTGGCGGATCATCCTCAGGGTCAACATGTGAAAGCCATCCTGGATCCGGGACGTTGTGGTCGGCTTCGAGTGGGTGATGTGGTGGTCGAAATCAACGATCAACGTGTGAAAGAGGTCTCGCACGCCGAAGTCGTGCAAATCCTCAAACAATGCCCAGTTGGACAAGAGGCACGATTATTGGTTCAGCGTGGAGGTATTACAATTTTCGTGACACCATCCATCCGTTTTCTGTTGAATATGTTTACTTACTTGACCAGCCGAAGATCACTTGCTGGGGCTGAAAACACAGATTCTGAGATTTTATCAGTTTATTTTTTGAATTACTGGCTGTCTTTTTTATTTTATAGTGGTATAAACAGTAACGAATTCTTATTCAGATGCTGAGTGTTTGAATTAGCTTATTCGGATTTTCACGGACACCAGGCACGATTGATGATCTCGATTGGGAATTTCACCCTTTGGAAGATCGTTAATTCCCCACCAGTTAAATGTGGTGGAAATAGTTGTGATGACCGACGAAGAGGGCTGGACAGAGCTGTTTCGTCCTGTTTGGAACTCGTCAGCAGTGCATGTCAGGACTCGAACCGCGAGTTCGGTTCTCAAACCCCTACTCCTGAGCTACACGGTCGACGGTTGTCACCTTGTGCGAACGGTTTAATCAATTTAGACGATGAATGTTTGGATTAGTTTCTGTTTGATCGCAGGCTGTGGGGTCAAGTACGCCAGTAGGGTGCTTACACTACCAGCGAACACTTTTGAAGCACTTGTACTCTTCAGTGGTTCCGTTCCACAAGCCCATTTTGTCGTTAACTAATAACTAGTTGTTGCTATTCGTTTTTCATCCTAATTACGTTGACTGGTAACGGTGATCGTGTTGGTGGCCAATCAATTGGCTGGTCATGTACATATACAAATTAGTTGCAGTGCGAGTGCTGTTCGCGTAAGCTGTTTATAAACGGTCCTGGAAGCAATCAAACACACACACACACAAATATCATATTGTTTTCCGTTCCTGCGATGTCATTACCACGATCCATTAAACTCGTCGTTGAGTGTTTGTGTGTGTGTATGTGTGTGCTATTCCTTTGTGAATTGTTGCGCGCGCGTCCGATGAAGCGGTTTGCTGGTGTGGTTGTTGTGGTGCAAAAAAGAAAGCCAGATGATTGGCCCCTTGTTATCCTGTATGCCGGTTTTTAGAATCACAATTATCTGTTCCTTTTCAATGTGACCGATGTGCTGTGCAGGTCGCTGCGGTTCAGTTATCGCGTCTTCGGAATACGGAACACGTCACTCATTCGGTCTTGTGAGAACTGCATTCCATGAACTTGCGATTGACACATCGGCGGAGCCAGTAACACCGTCGTCCTCAATTCCAATTGGCCACAGAATAAAACCTTGGTACATGTGCCACGTTTGACTAACATATGCCTGTGAAAGGGATGTCAGAAGAAGTGGCTGAGATGATTCACTTGTCTGACTGACCTTTTTTGTATCACAGGGACCTGGATGTACGCGAGTGAAATGCACGCATGCACTTGCTTGATTGTGTGTGTGTGTGTGTGTGTGTAACCGGGAGTCAGTTTTGTTCAGGCTCTGCTGTCTCTTATCTGAAATGAAACAGCTGAACAGATTTCGGCGACAAATCCTTGCTAACTAGGATCAACTTCTGTCTATTGGACAGTATGACAATTGATTTCAGCCTTCGAGTTATCAGCCGCCTTTTTATGGTGATCTGATTAGAGGAACGGTCTCTGCATACCTTTGTTCATTCGAGATATTCACTCAACGGGATCGGTTTTGCCAAGCGTCCCTATTTTGATTTATCCCTCCCTGGCTGGAACGCCATTGGATTCTGTCGTGAAAATTATTGAATCATGATAATTTACACGTAGCACGTGGAGTTGGTCCAACTTATTTTAATTTTTCCATGTTGGAATGTCTTTGTACGTATTTCACTCACGTCTGAATTCAGTGTGTGCCAAACAGTGCTTTATAAAAAAGAGAAAGTTCCATGACTTGTTTGTGAGTTGCCCAGGTCAAGACAGGTAAATTCTCTTGAGGAATCCACAATCGGAGCCTTTGGCTAATCAACGCCTGACCCGCAAGGCAGCGGGGCAGTGTGTGAAAACCGCGATCAATTGGGGGCCGATGTGCAGTTCATCGTGTCATACGCCCTTTGGATGGGGTCAAACGTCCATATCCTTTCACGGGAGACATCCTGCCGAGCCAAGCATCTCACACAATGCACCTCGGTACCCAATCGAGTCGGTGAACACTGCCAAGGTGCGACCGAGTGTGGTTTGGAATTAGGGTTTTTGGCCAACTCCCCTGGGTGAACTGCCAGTGTTTCACCAACCCAATTATAGCCCCGGGTTTCGGCTATTCGTCTTCTCACTTTGGTGCAAGAACATCGCCACGAGGAGGCAGTGAGTGGGGCTTCGTCCTCAACAGAAGCTGTTTGAGGCGCTTGATCGTATAGAGGAGCATTTCGCGAGGTGCAAAGGAATGGTGATCAGCCACGACCAAAGACACCCACCCCCGATCATACTGAGGCTTTCGGAAACCAGAGACCATTTATCCTCGTTGAGCAGTTTCTACACGCAGTGTGTTCTGCTCTCTCGACTTTCTCGTGTCTACGCTGTTCAATTGCACATTATTTGGTGGCCCTGTTACCTGCCTCACGCAGATAGATGTGATGGCAGAGTTCAGTGTGAAGAACAGTAAACTGTCGAAAATATTTTGATTTGTAATTAAAATCTCATTCCCTTGGAATTTTTCTTCGCCGACTGATCTAGCACACCAAAAATGAGGTCATCCATGTACGATCTAATAATCGCAACATAGTTAGTGTGCTCATTGATTCCATACAAGTTGGTTTCTAGCTTCATGGTTATCCCCAGCTAACGGCTCGTGTACCCTCAACTTTTGGTTACCGAATAGCTCCGAACTGCCAGTGTTTTTCGAGCCCCGGTAAAGTGACATCCTTTTATTTAGGTGTTCCGAATCGGTCCTTCACATGGATGTTTGGTAATCACCATTCTTATTCTTGGGAAGAGCGTTCGTGAAAGAAATTTCGCACCACTCAATTACATGATACAAGCATAAGCATTCAATTGGCTGNTGGCTGGGCACAGCTCACTTTTTGCCAGTGCTCAAACTGGGGAAACAACTCATTTGAGCGTCCTAATGATATAAATAGTTATGCAATCCGGACAGGGTTTGGAAGTCAACGAATGGCAGTAGAGAATAGCAGTGAAGAAAGGAAGGGGATTCTGATTGGTCGGTTGATTGGGGCTATGAGCTAAGGCAGTTTTTGATGTGATGCAAACAGGAGACGTCACGAGTGCTGTCGTGCATATCCTATCCAGCATACGATAGATTGAATAACCGAACCAGTCCCCTTGGACCATTTACGAAATAACGGTGACATCCATCTGTATCTCTCTCTCTCCTGTTTTATTTCGTTCAGAGCAGTATCTAATCAAATTAGAAAATTTCACAATACCTCATTCATGCTATGCCCAAGAGACATTTGAAAACAATAAATAGATGTTCAGTTGATCATTTCACAATTCACAATATGAAATCCAAAACCACACATTGCTGTTGAACAACACATCAATGGTGCATAAATCGAATACTGGGAATTTCTCTCGCTCTCTCAATTTGCGTTATTTGCTCCCACTCCACGGCCAAATTTTTCACCAACCCTCTCTAATGTCATCTTAGTTAACATTGTTTCTCACTTCGCAGCTTACAGTGCCAATGAACACACGCTTCTCTCGACTGCTGCTCCGATTTGTAATCCGTTTGATCTTTGACCTCTGCCATGGTTTGTCATGGACTGGTTTAGCCTTCCGAAGCCCACTTGCTCTGCTTTCTCGGTTTGATCACAGTCTGTTTTTGAGGCACCTTCAATCCATCAGATTTCGGCACTATACTCCTATTGATATAATCACCCAGTGCAATAAATCGAATGCCTCTTGGAACATGGCTTATTTCAACTATACGTTTATTCCATTAGTGGCCTCAGATATAATTCCATCCATTGGATATACAAAGCTCATTTTATTTTCCCTTGACCAAGTTTCCTCAATCTAGAGCAGTGCATCCGATTGTCTAACTCAGTTCAATTTGCCAAGTCCAATGCAGACTGTGAGAAAGCAACAGTCATACGGTTTTACATTCACGACCAAATAGTGATTTGCGCAGACGAAATTTTCGGAAAACAGTGCGATTTTTTCAAAAACAGACAGCGGTCAATGCTGTATTCGGTCAACTCCTATGTCCAACANTTGGCTGATCGCCAGGTTAATTGTCGCACGAAATTGAAAAAAATTCCCCTTTTAACTGGGAATTTCGATCGCTATCGTTTGCTGATTCAACCCAAGCACCAAAGCCACGTGCATTGTGAAGAATTTCCAATCGTTCCTTTACTTTTGTAAGAATAATGGGTGATTTGTTTGCTGACAGTTTACCGCAACGCACAAAATGATTCTCATTACAACCCCATTAAGTTGGCGCATTTGGAAGCGGACCACGTGCCTACTTCATATGAACTCTCCGGCGATCCTGACTCACGATACACGGGTATCATATGCAGCGGCCAGTGGAATATTTATTTCATTTCTGTCTGTTCATTGCTAACTTTGTATGCGCCTGATTTGGATTACTCCGTTTGTCACACAATTGTGCATTCGGTTCGGTCGCGTTTGATTAGTAGTTGACTTTCAACGACTGTTCTCAAGGCTGTTGCAATCTGATTCGGATCAGACGATGAATGACAATGACTGTGGATCACGAGACTCCACGGTTCATGGCCGGAGTTAATTTGGCTCCAAACTGTCTTATTTTCCTGGTTGGAAAATATATGGACCCACTAAATATCGAGGCACACCACGGCGGATGTCGATTTGCTTCTCTAAAGTACGCACTCCACATAATGACCATTCTTACCCGTCGATCTACCACAGTAGTGATACTGGAGGAACTTCCCTATCCAGAGAATGGATTAGATTATGTCCAGATTCGTATATGCACCCAGTGGAATCAGTCGAATTGTTTTCTGTCGGTTCTTCGGTTCTATTTTGATTTTCTCACACTCAGTGTTTCATCTGTGTTTAAGCAAAACGGCAAATTCATAATCACATTCTGATCTCAGTTTGGATCGATGCCCGCCCACAAACTCGCGGTTAGCATATCGTATCACTTAAATATAATACTACCATTTTTACCCCCACCCCCTAGGTTTCCCCGCTATTCCGAATCATTCCAATACCATTTCCGTTCTTGTTGTTTGTCGCGCGTGCTAGCAGTACTCCATTCGTTTCCTCACCTCATTGCATTTGTCTCATACGGGGAAACACAGTGCTCAGGAGATCACAATCAGTTGGTCTGCTCGATTTCGCAGCCGCTCGCAGTTGCATTACTGTTATCGTGCTCTGACCGTACTCAGCGGTCGGTTCTCTTTGATCTCCTAGTCTGCTGACGCGCACGATCCCATGCATTTATACACACACACACACACACACACACACACACACAAAGAGAGCGAGGGAGAGAAGGAAAGAGAGCTATAAATCCTGTCGTTTTCGCATACTACTACAATCCTCATATCGGCTAATTATTTCTCATTCCCATTCCAGGCCTTTATACCTCACCGCTGTCCTTATTAACCGCTGATCACGGTCCGTTGAAGCACGCGTCAGTTATTGGGGATAAGGTGAGTGTGAATTGCACAATGTGGTCTTCAATTGCTGACGCCTGAATGCGTGCATGCATGCATGCATGCGTCGAATTACATTTTCTGATCGATTTTTAAATCACAATCGGGGNTCGGGGTTTGCGAGGGGGGGGGGAGAGTTCTGTCACGATCTAATTGCTCCGGTAGCGTCCTCGTCCAAATAAAATGGGGCCCTTATTCGATGCAGTTCGATTGCAGCATTTCACTGACGCCATTCCGGTAAACTTGCTACCAATGTTCACAGAGGACCGATTCGCATGTGACCCCAACTCATTAATAGGCATAGCACATCACTCAGAGTTCGACCCGATTGACATTTCATGCGATCACATTCAGCTCGGTGTGTTTACATCGCACGAATGTTCATTCTGTACAGTTAATGGTGTACTGAAACCCTCTGTTTAGGATGACACCCGACAAGATGATGAGATAATTCAAAATTACAGCGGAGTTACACCGTCGTCCTCGGAAGCTCTGGCAGCTCATTAACCTGCAAATTCCGTATCATTCCACACGCGGTCACTGTTCAAGTTGCCCGTGGATGTCACCACCCAATTGTTTGTACCGATCTGTCTTACGGAGCAGTAATCGAGCACCTGGAAGTCATCACGTGCAATCTCACAACCGGCGATTCAACTCGTGGATTTCTCCGATTTTTTTATTACACACCTAAATGTGATGCACAGGAGACGGGGTAAACCCCATTGTTACGAGGACCTGCTGTTCAGTGGTGGAAACCGGCAACCTAAGCCTCGGGACGTGGAGTGGCGAATCACATAAGGCCCCGATAGGTTAGGCGTGGTATTGAACTGGACGACAGCAGATCTGCCTACCACCAAAGTCGGCTCGAACCTCCGACTATAGGGTCCAAAGCATGCCGGTGACAGCGACTATATCACTGCGCCACCACTAGCTAATGAATGTTTTCTGAAATAAGTGACTGTCTTTTTCACACGTCTTCTTTCTAGCATTGCACAACCGGATATATCGATGCTGGCCATCTGAAAAATCTCTCTTTTAATTCTCCATAACCAGCCTGCTTGCACCTTAGCAAATGGTTGACTTCCACAAACTACGGTGATTGGAACATGTGTTGCGCANCCAAATAGGTTGCGACGGTGAGTGATATTTTCTGAGATAGGCAGCGGATGGGAAATGGCCAAGGGCAGTCGAACTAACACCTAGCATGAGGGTATGAAAACTATAAGAGGGATAATCAATCACATAAATCGCGCGAGATCATAGTAACCGGGGGTTAGAGGCTCTGATAAGGTTGAGTGTCGCAAATAGTGGCGCTCGTGCATCTGGCCAATATTCTTGCAACCCCAGTCTACATGAATTCTCTATCTTCCGCTTGAATTCGTCCTCAACATTCCAATCTTCATTCTGCCCTTTTCTATTCAACCGGGCGGCTAAATGACAGCAACCGAAACCGGCACATGAAACGACATGGTTAGTGGTTGTAAGACCTAAAACTGTAACTCGCTATCTCTTTGGAGGTCAAAAAGATGAGTGGTAAATATAAATCCAACGTTAATGTGTTTGAATGGAAGCAGCTGATTTTGCTGAACAGGTCACGAAACCACGAGTCTGCTTTGACATCGCATTTTGCCGGATGATATGTTCACATGACTACTCAATGAACCTTGCCCGGTTTAATTCTGTTAATGGTAAACGCTCTTTAACGGTTCCTGTCAACTTGGATCTGCTCCAAGGTGTTTTTCTTCCTTCCTCCATCATCCCTGTCTGTTTTACCGTTTGAAGTCCGAAAAGTTTTAGCTTCAGATCAGCTAATGATGTCGTTTTTGATCTTATCACTGAAATTTCTTCCCAGACCAACACCACGTTCCCATTAGCTTAAATTCAAAGACCTAACTCCTAATCCTACAAACATCCGGATTCAGTTCCTTATTGATGCAGCATTCACAGCCATCAAGACGACCGTGATTACCCTCAGCATTTCCACCGCCGGTCAGCTTGCAGCTCCGATGAAGCATTTCAACCACCTTAGTGGCTCTTTGACGAAAGATTTAAAATGGACTCATCGTATGAGGCAATCTCTTTTTTAAGTCCAGACTGTTAACATTTTAGTTCTCCAGACGTTACGCTCTTCAATATATCACACTATCCAGTGTCACAAGACCTACTGTTCCCTCGTGATTTTACGTGGTTTGTTCTCCAACGACCAGGTCTGGCTTTCTTCAAATTTTATCTCCGGGTAGAGTGCAATCTCCTACGTGTCATTAGTCTAGCTTATAGTGAACACTTGCTTTCCGTCATACAACCCGTTGTCCAATACTTCCTATCCTACCTCTCTCGGTAATTACCTTTGTCGTTTCCACTTCACATCAGTTATTGGTACTGATTTTCAGCCGCTGTGTACATTTGTACCGTCACCGTTCGGTTCCCCATCGTTCCCACCACGAATAATTCGCTTATTTATAGTAAAAGACAATTCCGATCCGCTCATACCATCCGATCTCTCCATGGGCAATGCAAATATTTCTGTGAACCGTTTTACAAGCTTTCTCATCAAAGTTTACCGGGTAAAACATTGAAAAGATTTTACATGTATTGTTCACCTGGACTGCATCACCGACACAATATCAGTGTGAAGTGAAAATTGTGTGCTTACCGCGTAAAACGGTAAACTCATGGTATTTTTGTCAAAATTGGTTGGTTGCACACGTCGCTCGATCTTTTCTCATAGGCTCCTCCGATAAAGCGGGCTAGGCACACAATAACAAGTGAATGTGGATCCTCCGACCTGGACGTGGAATCGTGATCATTGCCTGTTGCTATTGACTTGCAACGATGAATGAATTGCTATTCAGCAGACTCGGTTTGCAGGTCTGAAAAAAAGGAATTCATCATCCTCACTGTGTAAACTTTGGTGGTAGGAAACTTTGCTGTCCGGTTCAATACCACACCTAACTTATCTGGGCCTAATGTGGTTCGCCACTACAAGTCCCCGCTTAGGTTATCGGTTTCCATCACTGAACAGTAGGTCCTCGTGACCATGGGGTTTACCGCGTCTGCTGTTCATCACACGAAAGTGCGTAATAAAAAAAATTAAAAAAACTGTAATTTGTCTTTTAAATACACAACAGAATTCGTGACTGAAGTTACATCTGCAATCTGTCCCCTTTGGGAGTAGAATTCGAATGTATAAGTCAATGAAGCATCAATAAAACATTACAGACCATCTTATCTCATGACACATTTTGATTAGACCATTCGATTCCCTGTTGATACACTTTGGACTGTTCCACCGTGTGAGATGTAATGCGGCGAACGGGTCAATAACTGATCAAGTGAAAATATAGTTTTCCTGGAACGGAAAATGACTTGTGCGCACATTTGTTATCCGCTGGAACGCTGCTTCTCTGCGCACCACAAATCGTGACACATTCACGAATATGCACAACACCCTCCCCACCCACACACACATATGAGTGTTCCTTTTCGTCCTCCTCCTGTTCTCAGAATGAACACAAATGCCTCACTCACCGGAACACATTTTGCCTTATATCATCGGGTTGATCAGACCACTGAATAGAGTTAACCGAGCGAAGCTGGGTTTCTTTTTATCATTGGACAAAATTTAAATCGGGTGCATTCACCACCCGCCCCGGTTCACCGACACACTGTGTGACTGCGTTCGCTGAATTGTGGTCATCTGTTTGCAAAAAAGAAGACACGGACGAACAAATTTTTTTTGGGGGGGGGGATTATCAGCAACCCGACCGTTTGTTTACATGTTCCGTTTTCCAGTTTTACCGCTAATCCTCAAGTCAATGTTCCGCTATGTATACACCTTATTCATCGCTCTCAATATGTGCACGGGGCTGAACGGGGTCGGTTTATCACGGGAACGTTGATCTGTTCAAGGTTTGCTATCTGCAGGACTCACTCCCCCTCCCCTTATTGACATTTCTATTTCCGAGTCACTTGGATGCCAACGGTGTGATTCACTACTAATAGCGGTATTCGTTTGTTTGTTTGTTCGAACCCACGGGGAACATTAATCCTTCGGGTGGTTGTTTCGCCCCACCTGCCGATCTCTTTCCACACTTATCAACCGGGGCAGTTGTCTTCCTTAGAAGACGAAGAACAAAACGAAGGCGCATAAATCATTGACTCCGAGCGAATATTTTTCACCCTCGCCTTTTGTCTGTCTTCATTCGAACCAATCAGCTGGTCAGCTCTGTCGCACACACACTTGCGTCTTGTAACGTAGTCATTAAGGATAGCTGGCCATTTTCCGGTCCTGCTTTTTCCCCGATCAGAGTCAGACAATTTTCACGGGGAAAAACGGTACACTGTCATTGTTACATTCACTGTATGCATGAGTTGCGATTGTCCGATCCGATCGATAACTCTACACACACGCACACACCCTTCTCCGCACTGAATAAATTCCAACCTGATCTCGAACCTTCTTTCACTTCAAATCTGTCCGTGGCTGTGGATGGGTGACAGTGCGTTACGCACTATAGTTAGATTCAGTGTACTAGCAGAACAGGCATCACTGTATCTCGCTGAGTGCTACAACCCCAACTGAGTGTACATGGGCCATCTTCGAGTCAGGTCAGAGTGTATGGTTCACTCAACGCGCTTCAAAAGAAAGCTTTTTGCACCCAAAGCAGAAGTTTTCAGCAATTCACGAAAGATTCCGGTTGATGCATATCAACTGACATTTAAAAAGAACAATAATTTCGCTATCGTCGAAATAGTCCCACAGAGCACATTTCAAATAAAACAGAACAACAGATAGTGGCGAAAATGCTTGCTTTTACGTAATCGCATTCACGCCTGTACATCTCGATATAGTTTGGTTGAATGGTGTGTGCGCGCTTGTGTGTGATTATTGTGTACGGTGTGTTTGTGTTTGTATGGGTGTGCTGCACATGATTGGTTACATCTAGGGAAGGTCAAGGGTAAAGTTCATACGCTTTTAGACAGTGTGGGTTTGTTGTGAGAGATCGATACTGCCTTCGTCGGTGTTAGTCACGATGACGTAACAAAACTGAGAACGCGTTCGCAAGGTCTACCTGGTGACCGTGTTCAACAAAGTGGCGTGCGATAGTCGAAGCCGGTTTACGTGATGCATTCAGAACGTGTGGTGTAGACTGAGTCATCTTAATATATACTTGAGAATAAGAACACCAAATAGCAAATAAGGTTGTTGTCGGTGCTACATTAACTGGCTAAATACAGCACGAATTATAATAAATTAAAACAGATGTGGGAAAGGAGACCAATATCTTCGAACGAAATCAGAGTTCAAACAGGATTGATGAATTTGTGATAATTGGTGTGTGTTTGGAAAGTTGTTTTCTCCGTGGGGTAGTTGACTCCTGTTTCATCCGTTATCATTTTCAGTTTCGTTTGCCCCGGTGTGGGAGAAGGTTGAGTTTTCATTGTTTTTTTATACTATTGTCTATTTCAGACCGTTTCCAATTCTCTCGATTTGGGTAAGTCTAGAT